ATTTGAGCTCTGGTTTATTCTTCTGCAGGCATCAACAGGATTCAGACATTTCAGTAGCATACTCTGATGCTGACCTCCACAGACACAAAAAAAAGAAGAAGAAAAAGAAGAGACACTCAAGGAAATCAGAGGACTTTGTTAAAGATTCAGAACTGCACTTAACCAAGGCCGCTAGCTCTGAGACTGTTGACCATTTCCGGAGAGCTGATGGTGGTTTACCCCTCACCGACGGCCTACCTCTGGAAGGTGTTGGACCTTTCCGTGAGAAAACAAAATATTTACGAATGGAAAGCAGGGATGACAGGTGTCATCTGTTTGAATGTGGCCAGGGTAAGAGGAGACACTGGGAGTTAAGAATATCAGAATTATTTTTTTGAAAAGGTGGTTAACACATGGGAAGAAAACCTCAAATGGCATAAAAGGGTGTACAGTTCAAGGATGAGCCTGCACTGCAGTTATGTGTTGGGGATACTGAGTGCTGACCCCTTAGCATCATTGGAAGCCTCAGTTCTGGGCCCAGCAGAACCTCCACACTCAGACCCTTGGTGTTCACTCCCCACTCTGAGTGTGTGCCTTGGGAAGGACCAGAGCTTTTATTTTATTTTTTAAATTTTTTTAAAGATTTATTTATGTATGCATACAAGAGCTGGGGTACAGGCCAAAGGTGTGGGGGTGGGGGTAAGAGGATTCACCAGAGACAGAGTAGGGAGCAGAACAGATAGAGCTACTGAAATACACTGCTGAGGGGAGCAGCAGGGAGACAGGAGAGGTCTGCTGCACCATGTAGGTTGCTCCCTGGCCAGGGATCAAACTTGTACTGCAGTGGCTGCTCATAGCTTCATAGGTTGCGTCCTAACCCCTTGCGCACCACCAGGGAGGCCCCCAAAACTTTTATTTTTAAGCTAGTTTTGATAGAAATACTTTGACAAGTATTCTTTCTCTCATGAATCCTTAAATTTATTCTGAGTAAAACTCAATTTCATGGTATGTCTCATTAGAAACACCACAGCGAAGCCTTGGAGGTGTGTTTGTCGTGGGCCTCTCTGGCGCCCGAGAAGCTGTCTCGTTCCGGGCCTGTGGTCGTCTTGGATTCTTGTCTGCTTTGCACAGCTGCTTCTCTTGTAATTTGTAGTCCTTTTGACTCTGATTGCATTTAAAACAGTCCCTCTTCCCCTTTCTAACTGCTTCCGGAGACCTTTGACCCTCGAAAGGAACACAGAGCTAGTTAAACACCGTGTGAACATGGGTTGGCCAACTGCAGCCTGCCAGCCAAAGCTGGCCACCACCTTACTCTACAGGCTGCCAGTTAGAAGCACTTGAACGTTTTTAAATGATTGGAAAAATTCCAAGACCGTTTCATTTGGGGTGAAAATTTTATGAAGTTGTCTAGAGTTGTGTGGGTACAGAGTCCAGCTTCTTCAAGACCCAGCCTCTGGCAGCTTGGTGCTACATGGCGGCAGCCAGAGGCCTACAAGTGAAAACATTTGTCATTTGGCCTTTTATGGAAAAAGTTTGCCGGCCCTTGCTCTAGACACCTGAGGTACACTTTGTGACGTTGACACATGGTCTCGATTCCCAGAGACCGCTTGGTTCTTGACTGGGTGCTGGACTCTGCCTGCAGTGGCCTGCAGTTGCCTGAAGTGCAGTGTCAGGAGAGACTAGGAGAACGTAAAGGATGGAGTGTTCTGTGGGAGGGCAAGTGGGAAGTCTGGCGGCAGGTGTTGCGGGAATTGCCACAGCCAGTAAGAAAGTGAAGCTAAAGCGGTATTTATTCTGTGTGGTTTTTAAGAAATATATATATTTTAAGATTAGTTTCCCAAGAACATTGCAGCAGTTTGAGGAATGGACTTACTGAGGACTGATTTCCTCTGGCCTCTGTGTAGTGTTGGGATGAAGTAGTGAGGTAGGCTGCTGTCCTGTGTATACTAGGCATGGTCAGACCGTTTCGGCTGCAGGTCTCTCTTAGGACCACCGCCAGCGGCCCCAGTGTGTGGTAGATGGCAGCTCGCCACAGAGGTGGCTCTGTGGGTAAAGTCAGCTGAGCCGGAACCTCGCAAATTGGCATTGGTCTCCCTGACGTGTGTCCAGGGCCTGCAGTTTGGTTTTGTGTCATGCAGTGGGCCATGTTCTTGTCCTCGGTCAGTTTCCATCTGATGACAGGTGGGCACAAGCTGAGGTGTGAGGTCAGAGGGCTTTGTCCTCCGTTCTGGGACCTCTTGACCACTTACCCACCCCTCTTTGACTCCTGTTCTCTGACCCCACTAAACTCTGGATTTCTTTGGCCTAAGACCTGTTCTTTCCTACTGTCAGACTGCTGCTGGGTTTGCTGGGTGGAGGGAACTGTTCTCACAGGGCTGTGGCTCTCATTTCATCTTCCCACTGTGAGCAGTGGCGTCAGTCATCACAGCAGCTCTGGTTTTCATTTGAACCCTTGGAGAAATAGTTCTGTGGTGGCGCATACTTGGTCTTCCTTGTGTCGAATTGTTTAAAGCAATAATCAACTTAACTGTCGAGAATTGTTTCTAAGTGTACAGCACAGATAGGAGTTTTGCAAAACCATCATTAAAACATGTTTCCTAATCTTTGCTTTCTAGGTGATTGAAAACTTGGCCTCAAAACAAAAAATTCACTAGTTATGGTAAGCCGTTTTCTTATCTGTACATGTTGTCAATGTTTGCACGGAGGGGACACACGTAAAGGAGTTTGAGGACTTAGGGGTGCAGGAATCACTGTGGCAAGCAGGTGCAGTCAGCTGCCGCTCAGCTCCTGGCGCCCCTTCTGACCTGCAGGCCAGTGGAGCTCTCCCCTCAGCACTGTCTCTGGAGGCTTGCGTCCCTCACCGCTGCGCCACTCCTGTCCCGCCTGCTACTGCTGACCTAGGCAGCATACCTCATTGTAAGAAGTGAGGGACAGTTGAAGGTATTAGAATTGACAGTCCTTTAACATTTGACAAGATGTTTCCTCAGCCCCGACTTACCTAGTGGGCCTGTGCCATGAGATAAGTTTTGCGTTCTTCATCCCTCCATACACCCCCTGGTCTGGGAACACTGGGGCAAGCACACGCTGCGCCCCTCACACTACGCTGCTGGCAGAGCAGCCAGGCCAGGAAGCCCGAGTCCCATGCGCAGATCTAGAAATCCTGCTGGGTTTGCGCCCACCCATACCATACCTCGGATGAAAAGGGCTGCGGTTTGGGTGCGTTGTAGATCAAAACCTTGATCTATTGGAATTTTACTCGGTAGCCCTGGGAGACTCACATTTTATACCCTGCTCTTGGCAGGGTAGAGGGGTGTGAGCTATTTTGCCCCTGAAAGGGAACTTTGTCTATATGTGTAACTTCTAGTCAGTGAGGGGGATTTTAAATGAATTTTAAAAATGAATTGTCTGAAGAGGATTAATTTGCAGTTAATTAACATACTTTACTGATGTGCCCTCAAGGGAAAGACCTAGGCCTAATTAAGGTATTAAACTCTTTCCTGGTGAAAGGGAATTTAAGGATTGAGGTTTGGACCAACAGCAATTGGGGTTCAGCTGGTGTGGTTCATGCCCAGCAGATGGCGCCTCCTCGCTGAGTGCCGGCTGGCTCCCTCTGCATGTGGGTCTGGAACTGCCTGGTTCCTCTAGTGCCTTCCAGGAAGGGAGACAAGCTTCCCCCAAAGCTGGAAGGAACTGGCTAAAAGGGGTCCACGAATAAGTTCACTGGTGTTATGAGAAGGCCCCCTCGCCCCCAGGACTCACAGGGCCCTTTGTTCCAGCTTCCTGCCTCGGGATAACGCCTGCTGCCCTCTTGTCTTTCAGATTCAACGTGTTCAACAGAAGCCATCCCCAACCCAGCTTAAATTATAAATAGAGAAAATAACTTTGTTCAAATCTGCGTGGTGCTTCTTTAGTAAATACTGTACAGATTTTACCATGGAGAACTTTTTAGTTTTTACCTTTTCTTAATTACCCTTCTTCCAAATGGATGAACACTTTCTACAACTGCTGACCATTGTAAATTACCGTGTATATAAATCACATTGAAAATAACGCCCTGGACTAGAACATCTCAAATGCTGCTTAATCACAGACTCAGGTTGATCACTCGTATTCCATGTAATGCTCCTCCAAGTTAGACATCCGGTGCAAGACCAACCGGGAAACCATGGAATTATTAAAAGTACAAACTGACAGTGTGTATATTTAATTTAAAGACTTATTTAAAGATTCACAAGCTCTCAACTAGACTTGAGAGCAGTCTGTTTTCTGTAATGTCTGATACTAGAAACTAATTTGCTTCATATTTTAGTTGTATTCAAGATTTGAAGATGTATTTTATAGACAAGTTCTGTTTTTGAACTTTGTGAAACTATTCCAATCAATTTACCAGTTATGATGAGTATTTACATTATGAATGTATAATCCAAACATTATTTGTAAAGCCTACAGTATGTTTTTATTACATAACACTTTTTTATACAGTGTCTCTTGTCTTGACTATGATATTGGAGTCTGAGTTGTCAGCTTGGTCCCTTAAAGTTTCTAGTTACAGACAAAATCATACTGTGATTTTATTTTTAATATGGATATGCTATCAAACTGTGATACACTTATAATTCACTGGTCCTGCATCAGGAGATGGAGTGGGGAAAACTGTATTTAATACAGTTTGTATCTGAATAATCTGTATGGTTTATACAGTTTGTGTTGTTCAGAGATGTCTAAAGTTTGATCTTTGTTTTTTTAAAGATTAAAAAAGCACTTGCCCCACTGTAAATATACAGCATGTAAAATTTATATAGTATATAAATGGCAGCAAATTAAACTTCGTGTCTTATGTTTTACTGCTATTTCCCCATTTGCTTACAGATAACCTCTCACTGACCACTTCCTGTTGCCTTCACTTTCTCAAAATCCTCTAGTGCCCGAGCCACAGCCTCTCAGGTGCTGTACCACCCATGGCCAGGTGCAGACTGCAGGATGGGTGAGTCTGGGGGGGACTGCTGGACCCGAAAGTCTGGTTTAAAGAACCAAGTCTTAGTCTTAACAATGCATTTTTATTTGGTGAACACAGTATTTGCAATTGGACAGTCATACGCCCTCCAATTTTACTAACTATTCACTTTACAACAAAATATCAATAGATACAGGATATTTCATGCAAGTCGTGGCAGTATATACACTGAATAACAAACACTCCAGAATCGGTATATATACAGTATTTACATATTAACTATTTACTGTAAATAGAAATGTTTTCTAAGAAAAAATAAGAGAAATCACGACGTGTGGTTTCTGGTCTGCAACAGACCTCGCCTCAGCAAAGCACACCTACGTAGATATATGCATGTTACCTTTAAAAATATGCATTGCTTTATATGAAGCACGAAGCACTGCTTCATCTATAAATAGCTCCTAGCATGACTCCGCTTGGTACCACAGTAACTGCTCAGAGATGTCCTGTGACCCCGAAGACAGTCTTTGGGTCCAGGGTTAGTCCAATTAAACCTCAGAGTCACCACGGCTCGGGGGGCTGTGGAAGCTGGCACCTCGCGTCCCGCGGCCCCTCTCCCCCGCTCCCTCCTGCCCTGGTCTCTGGAGGAAAGCTTGTCTTTGGCCAGAGCTGAGACTGATAATTCACGTGCTGAGTGTAGATGGGGGTGGGAGGATGAACGTTGAGTGTGTTGACGTTCAGACAACAAAGCCAGCCCTGCCCGCAGTCCCTGACCCGGCAGGCTTTCTGGGCCAGGCCTGCCTGGGCTGAGTGGACGCGATGGCTGCGTGCCTGCCGTGTTAATACTGTCGCAACAAAACCTGGAGTTGGATGAATTCACGAAACACCCTGATGGCAAGTTACATAGAGTCTAAGCACCACGGCCTTCTGTGGCATTTGCATCGGGGAGGCGCGATCGCAGGTAACCAGAGAAACATTTTCTACACGGGCCGTTCTCCTAACCCCAATCCGAGGCCAAACCCAAAAGATAGAGCCCTGCATCCCCAGGGGCCTACCTGGGTCTGATAAAAGCAGGCTTTTCACCCTTGAAATACACAGCGAGGTGCCGACCGTCCCCGATGCGGGACCCGCCCAAGGGGTGGCGCTGCGGGGTCATCTCCAGCAGTGTTTGGTCTGGGGGCCCAGGCATCGTGTTTCTGTGGAAGACTGGAGGCCAGAGTTGCATATATACCAGTCAGGCATCTCAACAATGCTGACTTGCCTGCTCAAAAACTAAAGTTTCGATTTTGAGGTATCAGTACAGTAACAAAGCCTGACAGTTTGGGAACAAACCAAAAATCTGATGCATTTTGGAGAGTCATGGGCTCAGACCCCTTGTAGTCTAGTGTGACTTAAAGCTACGTCAAGGTCAGCTGCACAGAGGCAAAGAGCCCTTGGCATCAGGGCCACTCAGCAAGACTCACTTCGGCTATTTAAATCTCTACACAGTACGTCCCACCTGAAGTTTTCTGTCTTGGACTTGACTTTGCACTGCTGTATTTAATGACCTCTACAGGGTGCAAAATGTAGGGTGTCTATGCAGCTGGGGCAGGGAGAGGAGGTTCTATGGGGAAGAGCCCACCCCCAGATCAGCCACCATGGCAAGGAAGCCCAGTGTATTGAATGCGGGTGTCCTGGTGGTGGAAATAAAGCTCCGATGAGAAAGGCGCCAGTCCTGAAGAACCCGAGGCTCCCAGCCCCAGGCCAGCCCTCGGCCTTGCACTTGCCCACCCCGTCCAGCTCTGAAACGTGCGGGACCCAGGCCCCCTTCAGCAAAAGCACGGACCTCCTGTCGGTAAGTCACAGGCAGCCCGACGGCTTATTGGTCATGGAGCTTCCCAAGTTCCACTACCAGAGTCCATTTGGGGTTTTGCACTATTTACAGGAAACCTAAGTGCCACGCACCCTCTCACAGCCTGCTCTCCCCTCCTCCTAGCGAGAGGAAATCTAGTTACTTACATGTCTACACATCACATGAACAAGTCTGGTCTTATCATCAGGTCAGTAAATGAGCCTTCATGTTGCCAAAAGGTTTTTCAACTGTGAAGACAGTGTTCAAAATTCAGTCTGAGCCACCTGTTTGGCTGAACGGGATGAAACTGCTCCCTGAGGGAGGGGTCCCAAGAGTCCACTACTAGCAGTTTCCTGTGGCTCGACACACAGACGGTGCCGGGACTCGGCAGTTACAGGACAGACGTCCCGACCGTCACTGACACTGTGATGATTTGCCTTTTAGGAAGTATCTGTGGGACCACAAGCTCTGCGCTGGAGAGAGGGCCCGGGGGAGCAGGTGCCTGGAGGCCTGCCCCCGCCCAGTGCTCGTCATCATCCTTGAGGAGACACGGGCAGCCTCTGTGTCTGGAAGCCCCGTGGGGGTGAGGCGACACCCAGGTGTCCTCGCCACTGCCCACCCTCGAGTGCTGCGTGTGTGTGTCTGTATATGTAATTTTTTTTCAGTGCACAGTATATACTTGTGTCCAGGAATTAAATTTATAGCTGCCATTCTAAAAATACTACTGTTAGAAAGTATCTTTCATTATAATTTCAGAATATAAAAAGGCATATAAAAGCTATAATCATATATATCTGAGAAAAAAAATTCTGAATAAAAAAGTGGTAGCTCTTCCTTTCCTGCTCTGATACAAAACAGCAGCTTCTAGAACGGATACCCCTGCCATTGGTAAACACTCATGATATGAGCCAGTTCCCGCCCGAATACGGTCCCGTTACTGCTGCCTGGATTTTCATGGCTGAACTACTGGTGCTGCGGCCGGAGGAAGTTTCGAGAAGGGCATGTTTTGGACCTCTCTGGTGTTGCAGGCGACAGATCGGAAGGAAGGGAAGTCTCTGTACGCGCACCAGCCGATCACATCCTGGGCACAGGACACGGAGGACCAGGGGCTCGGTGTGGAGCCTCCAGCTTCCTATGAGCCATGGCGCTGTGCAGTTCTTGCCTCTGGTGCCTTCTGGAAAAGGCCTCTGGGTCCAATGGGGACAACTTGTCCAGTCACTTTTTGCTGTGGGGTTTTGGTTTTTACTGTTACCTGTTCAGGCCTGGAAAGCTCTATTTTTTATTGGCAATCCTCCTTTTCCTTGTTGCCAACATGTCATAGAAAGGATCCCGACTGATGCTCGCTCTGGGGAACAGGAACAGAGGAGGTGAGTTCGGAAGGGGGCCGCCCATCTGGGAGACCCTGTCCCCGCCCCTCACCCCTGAGGCTCCTCTAATAGAAGGCAGAGTCCCACCTTCGCAGGTTGCCAGAAGCAGAGCCGTTCCCGAGTGCCAAAGTGCCCCTGCATGGAGGCAGACACGCCGCCACGGGCACACGGCATGCACACATGTACACACACGCACTCAATCTCTGCTGAGCTGCCGGGAGCAAGCAGCTAGAGCCCTGGCTCTGGGCAGAGGCTTCTCACGCACCTGATAGATTTCATCCACTCCTCCTTCTCCTCGGGGCTCGGGGCGGAGATCCGGTACACCACGTGGTTCCCCTCTACCACCCGGCCGTCGGCCTCGGTTTTACAGGCTTTGATGACCTGTCCCTTGTGGCTGGGATTGTACAGCTCGAAGCAGTTCTGGTGGAGACAGAGAGTGGCATCTCAAGCGCCAGAGAAGGTTCTCAGGCCCACGGGTACGCTCCTCTGGGGTGGGGGGAGTGGGCGTGCAGGGCCCAGCTGGGTGAAAGGAGAGAAGTGTCCCAGAGACAGCAGCTTACGGGCTTTCGCGGATCTTCCACCTCCCGTATGCTGAGGTTCTCCAACGGGATGATCCCCCTGGGCTCCTTATCCTACAAGAGAGAAGTGCACAGCAGCCTCATGCAGGTCCCCACCGACGGGGCCCTCTGCGGGAGGGACAGGCGCCCACCTCCTACTTACTGTCGTGTATTCAAAGTAGTAGAGGCAGTTGTCAGTCAGGATGAACCACCGCCTCTTCCAGGTCTTCACACGCCCTCCTGAAAGCAGAAGCACCTGTGAGCCTCGTCGGAGGCAGGCCGAGCGCATGGGCCCCACATTAGTGTCGTTTCAGAAATGCCACCAGAGCCAGACTTCCTTGGAAAATGTTTCAGATTCTGCCCATCATTCAGCAAAGGCCTGGGCAGGCCGTGTGGCCCGAGCCATCAGCCTCTCTGCTTCGCCTGGCTGGGAAGGGCACAAGGTGTGGTGCACCGTTGGGGTCCCACATGCACCCCTCCAGGGGCCATGCCCTTTCTACCTCAGGCCTAATAATCACTTTCCAGAGCTGCTTCCTGGGAGAGTTAGTGGTGATGCATGGATTTAATTTCCCCACATGGAAATGACAACAGGATGGAGTTAGCTCAGCGCCCGTCTGTCCAGGATGAGCCCTGTGACAGCAGGTCGTTACCGCATTACTGAGGACTGGGGCAGCCCCGGGATGCATCAACATCAATTACTCCCTGGCCCAGAGAATGACTAGATTGAATTAACTTCTTAACAAGATCTGGGACGGACAGACACCCCCCCCCCCACTCATCTGCGTCTACTTTTCCTTTGCTACACAAAGGAAGTCTACTTTACCCCCGAATCTTCAGCAGAGATAGTTGAAAACGCTTTACCTTCTAATCCTTGCTTCCACCATGAAATTTTCAAAGAAAAAAAAACCTCATGGTAATAGACTGAAGCAATGCGCAAGCACAGGTGAGAAGGGGCCCTCCCAGCCCTGTCAGTCCCCCAGTGGCAGGTGACACTGTGAGATGAGCCTGCTCTATACAAGGCAGGTAGGTGAGGGGTTGGGGCTAGGGGTCACACCCTGTCCCTACACGGACACCCTGAGGTGACCTTGGGGAGGTAACGGCATCTGAGGTGTGGAGACAGATGGGTCACACAGGGCCACACGAGGGGACACTCGCTGTCCCTTGGGTGATATGGGGCCTCAGATCCTGGTGGGTAGAGACACCCAGCTTTGGGGAGAGAGGGAGGCCCAGCTCCCAGAGGGTGTGTCTGCACAGCCCATCTGGGACCAGATGGGTGTTGTCCTCTCGATGGCCCCAAGGACCAGAGAGCTACAGTGCATCGGACACAGGAAAGGGAGTCACCGTTCTGTGAAGGAAGGTCTGCTGTGTCTCTTCCTCGAAAGACTCCACACCCAGTTCCTTCCACGCTGACACCTCATCCCCAGGCCCACATCCCCCTGCACCTCTGAAGTCCTCAGGCCCCGAGCCTGCCCCCAGCTCAAGCCTCCTTGCTCCAGGACCTTTGCTCAAGCTGTTTCTCAGCTGCAGCCACATCATCTCCCTCCCACATCTCTGACCATGGGGCTCTTGCTCCCTGAATCCCCGTGTGTGACCTCTTGGGGGCGCTCTCAGAACTCCTCTGGATGGGACCTTAGCACAGGGCCAGGCACCTGCCACCCTGGTGTCACCTCAGACTGCATCCCCCCACCTTGGAGGAGCATAAAAGGCAGGCCCAAGTTCACATGAAAGGGGCCCAAGGCACCCTCAGGCAACTACCCCCTCCCATGGTCTTCCAACAACAGAGGACAGTTCCAGACATAACCCACACCCCCGAGTCACTGTGAAGGAGTCACGTGCATACCAGGCCTTTCTTCAGTCACGCTGGTGCTGGCCAATCTACCCCGCCCACTCTCCACTGTCCACGCAGCAGCTGGCAGCGACTTAAGCACTAGAGCCGCCTGTCTCACTGCTGAAGTCCCGCCACTCTCAGCCTAAGACCCAAAACCCTAGGTCATCAGGGCCTTGTGGTATTCTGCTCTCCTCAGGGAACCCGTGCCCATCACCCGCCTGGCATCACAGCTGCCAGGAGAAGAGGGTTTGCCACGGCCTCCCCAGGGGCACATCTGGTGGAGCCCAATCCCTGGCCCAGTGCTCCGGGCCAGGCGAGCATTGTAGGCGTCCAGACAGAGGCCAGCCCAGTCCCGAGCACCCTTTCAGCTCTGCAAAGCAGGCCCAGCAGCGACAGGGAGTGAGGCCCTTGGAGCCAAAGGGGGCTCTGCTCATGCACGTGTTCCTGGCTGAGCTTCAGGAGATGGGACTCTCACACCACTCAGGCCTGCAGAGCCTGCTTTCCCAACAGTATCAGCAGCCGCTTCGCATCTCCCTCTGTTCTGTCACCAGGCACGGGCATGCATGCACAGCACATGCCCTGCAACACGACAGCTCCACTGGCCACACCCCTCTCAGTGCAGAGACAACCAATTCACTCTCAAAACTGAGCAAAGCAACTGTCCGTTGCTATTTGGCCATCATTAGGCCAAGCCTGTGAGGCCCCTACACTCTGGCCAAGTATCAGGCCTTGTGAGTGCCGCCCACTCTAAGATTCCACTCATGATGAGAAGCCACTGAGCCAGGCCACACTGCCACCTCCGTACCTGTCAGAGCACCTGCTCTGGCACGCATCTGGTTTCTACCTAATTTCTGTGCCTCTGGTCACATGCGCCTCACCCAGGGGGGACTCTGTGCCAGGGAAAGGCCCAGACTGTGTGTCCTCACTAACTGCGGAGATGGCACCTGGGGTCGGTCTCAGCCTCCTCAGCATCAGCTTCCAGCAGCTGTGCCGCCACCTTGAACCCTCAGCCTGACACCCAGTCCTGTCTCCAGGGCCATGCCGGCCCAACACTTCTGGGAGGTGGCCGTGGGCACCCCCACTCCCCTTGGCTGGCCAGCTCCCCGCGGCTCCTACAAGGGCTCTGTGCACAAACACCACGTCACTTATCTGCTCAGGCAGGAGTCGGTTGGAAGACACAGCCCTGCTGTGCTGTCATCTCCGTCTCCTTGTTGTCTTCGGAGCCAGCAGCATCCTCACCGCGGCAGCTGCACTCGCTGCCAGGCTGGCTTGCGCCAACACCACCCTGAGGGGCACGTGCCGGCAAGGGGGAGTGGGGTGGGTCGAAATGCACCTGCTGTGCTGGGGAGCACTCCTTCTGCCCTCTGCCCAGGACCACGCATGTGGATTATTCAGAAGTAGGGTCGTTGCCTAGCTTGCTTACTCTAGTCCAAGGGCATCCTCCCGGGTTTTTAGCCAAAGATACAGAACGCTCCTGAGCTTTGGCACAGCCAGAGAAAAGTCTAAGAGCAAGACCCTGAACCAGAACAGCAAACCCTCAATGCACAGGCCAGCACTGCTGGGCTGAGCAAGGCTCATACACGCCACACTGTCACCGTGTCTGCGTCCCATCCGCCCTGGGTCAAAAAGCACAGAACCGCCGCACTTCTCGCAGACCTCCACGTCTCCACAACCTGTCCCCGGTGCTTGGGTGATAAGCAGCTGTCACATCTCACAGGCTCTGTGTCAGAATAAGGCAGAACGCTCACTCTCCACATACCCCCATCAAAGGAACTCCTACTGATCCCTAAAACTGCCCAGAAAATAGAAAAGCTGTTCTAGTTCTTTGCCAGTGGCTAGAAAGCCTTTAAATGTTGCCAGCCTTTCCTGTGGTGGTGCAAACATGCTCTGCTGGGTTAGTATGAGGGCGATGGAGCCGGCCGGCAGCTCTTGCTCTGCCCAGCCCGGAGGATGGAGGCAGGCTGGCTGCCCACTGCATTCCCATGCGCTCCGCCCGGGCCGGCGTCCCAGCTGCTCCGAACGGCCCAGGCCGCGGGCGGCATTCACAGCACCAGGCATGGGGCTCACCCCGGCAGGTCCAAAGCCACATGGATCAGATGAATGGCAGCCACAGACCAGAGCTTCACACAGACCAACAGGGGAGAAACCAAGAGAGGAATGAGCGGCTGAGGAAGGGGCGGGAAGCCACTGGGTACGTACCTCCTAACGCAGAACAAGCAGGGACAGCCCGTCACAGAACAGAAAGGTGGGAGCACAGGCAGAAGGAAAACAACAAGAAGGCACATTTAAACCATTCGTCGAAATCAGCCACGCCAAACCAGGAGAGAGGCACGAGGTTCTTGGAGGCAAATGCACCTGCTTCTTGGACAGAAATTGCCTTGGGTTTATCTGGACGCTAGCGGAGTCATTTTCTGGGACGGGCATGCAGCCCGGGTGCTACTCTCAGCCGTGGAAATGGACGGGACCACCTCCTTTGGGCGGGGCGTGATTCAAAGCAGCCGCCACCAAGCGGGACGTCTGCCTGGAGGCGTCCTCCCTAACACTCTGCCTTCCGGCCGGGGCCCTGCTAAGACGTGCTGGAAGGACCTCCTCGAGCGAGCGAGCGAGCGGCTGCCCTGGGCGAGGGGCAAGGAGCGCGGCCACGCCCCAGCCAGCACTCACCCAGCTTCAGGAGCCAGCCCTCCCGGTCGGGGTTGAAGAACGTGTGTGTCAGGTCATTGCCATCATCCTCCGGGATCTTAAAAGGTTCATTCTTGATGCTCTCGTACAAGTTCTGCCGGAGGGAAGCAGGACAGAACTCAGGCCCCGCAGGAGGGACGGCTGTCCTCCCGTCTCCCCGGATGTGCCAAGAGCCACGGCGCGGTGCCGCTGACCTGCCCGGCCAGTCCCATGCGCCTCAGGGTTAAAAGCAAGTTCAGGACAGAGAGGAGGGACTGACGATCCGGGAGCACGGCCCGGGTGGGCTCTATGCATCTCACCCTCAGCAGCTCCTCAGGAAGGTCTCCGCCCTCGTTGATGCCCCGGTTCATGGTGACGAACCGCTCGGCCGTGGGCTTGTCCCGCACGTTGTGGTTGTGGAGGCTGGTGTTGAGCATGATGATGGCAAAGGACAGCACGTAGCAGGTGTCTGCAATGGGCGGCAGCGGGCGGGGCTCAGCCCTCGGGGAGAGGGGCGAGGAGGGGCTGGGGGCAGGTGGGGCACGGGGGCTCGGCCAGGGCCAGGCACAGCCATCACTCACCCGTGGACTGGAAGACACCAGGGTTGCACAGGCAGTAGCGGGATGCGAAGGCCTCCATCATGCGGTCGATCTTCTGAGCCTCCCCCGGGAGCCGAAAGCTCCACAGGAACTGCCTGCGGGGTACACAAGCGGAACCGCAGTGTCTCCCCTGTGTCCAGCCCACGCTGTGCCCACGGAGGGCGCCTGCCCTGTGTCCCTCAGCCCTCCAGAGTGGCGGTGCCGGCAGAGGCTCAAAGCGTGGGAGTGGGAGCACACACACAGCAGCAGACTGTCCCAACAAGCATCAGTAAGCAAAGGAGCGGTGATCCGACACCAGCCCTCACTCCCATCCCAGGCCGGAACACAGAGCTGCTGACGCAGAGACTCTTCGGGGGACCCGGAGTGACTTAGCCACGCTCTGCTCTGCCCTCGCCAACCTGGGGCAGCATCTGTCTAAACACTTACCTTAAGGCTTGCACGAGGTTGAGATCGGCAAACTCATGGAGTTCAACAAAAGCCTGAAGAACTTTAATGTTAAATTCATCCCTAGGAAAGCAAACATGTCATTAAAGACATCCCCTAAAGCAAGTTTTTGCAGTGTCTTATTTTGCAGGACTCAGCTAAGGTTTTTTCACCGTACATGGTTGTCAATGCAAAGGCTGGTGAGTGGGATGCTAGGAGCCTTCGTCACGACTGCTAAGAGGCTGGCAGGGAGCAGGTCACAGGCTCCAGGCCACGGCCCCGTGTGCAGGCCCAGTGCAGATGCTCAGCGGCAAGACTCTTCCCTCAACCTTAAAAACCACCGTAAGGGGGGCACTGGTGCCACCCCCACTCATGAGGGGCTCTGAAGCTGCTCCCCCAGGGCCACAAACCAGAAAATACAGGGCTCCTGATGGCCAGAGGCCCTTGGAGGTGGCTGCCTGTGGGGAGGCCGCTGCTCATGTACACGGGCTCTGACCTAAGGTTCTTGCTGCAGCCACATTACAGCTTGTGGAGGCTGACGGTGCCAGTGTGTCCCCAGACACCCTGGGATACTGGGCATTCTTGATAAAGTCTTGACCCTACCATAAAAAAAAAAAAAAAGCCACTCTTTTACGGGCCTTGACCAAAGCCCCAGTTGGGGAAGGGGCTGCCTTTGGGGCCCTGCCCTAACTTCTGAGCGCTGGAGAAGGTCAGAAAAGCAAAGTGAATTTCTACTCTCAGAAAAATTAGTAGTTTTCCACCTTTATTCATACCCCCAAGAAACAGGGAAATCACTGAGAAATCTATAGTGTATTTCTAAGCAAAATCTCAAAAAGAAGATGAAGCTTTCCAAGGGAAGGAGAAAGAGGCCACATCATTTTTGGTCCGTCCTTGTCCCCAAGGAAAGGATTCCAGAGGAGCACAGATCCCGTCTGGCTCAGACCACCCTCACCTCTCTCCTGTGAGGGCACGGGAGGAAGTGACCGCTGGATGCTCGGGGGACTGGGGGCAGCACAGGCCCCCCTGAGTAACCGCTCAGCCCCCGGAGAGGGGCGGGGAGGAGGGCGAGCCCAGGACAGGTTGCCCATTCTCCTTCCACTCACCTCTCCCCCAGGTAGTCCCCGATGACGGTCTTATTTAGGCCTTCTCCTTTATACAGGAACTGGGCTACATCTTCTGGGGAACTCTGCAGCAGGTCATTTTCTATTAGAAATTGAATTCCCTGAAGACCAACATGAGAAAGGAAGTGCCGGTTAGGAGGGTGAGCCAGACTCACTGTTCAAAGACAGAGATGCATTTAGTGGAAGGATCTCACTGGTCTGGACACAGCAAAAATAACACCAGCCATACATCAGCACAACTTATTTTTCATATCCCCACACTACAACTTACCCATCAAAGAAAGGTACCTCCACTTCCTGACAAATAACAGGATGAAAGACAAAGAGGCTACTGAACTATTACAGGCAGTTCTTAGAGGTCATAAAGGCAACAGCATCGATGTCCCTGAGCTAAGCAAAAGCTCCCGTTTGCTTCAAACCGGCCCACCCAGCATCTGTGCTGGGGCGCCCAAACCCCTGCTGTTCTTCACTAAATAACCACTTTCCCAGCCTGCTTCGCCTGACTTCTGACTTTGTGACACAGGTCTGATCAGACGGATAGCAAAGGAGAACCAAGAGAACCTCTTCGTGATAAAAGGGGACCAGTCCTGCCTCCCTGGAACACAGATGTGAGGGCCAGAGCCCTTGCAGCCATCCTAGGACATAAGGCCAGGACTAGCACTGGACCTCTGTTCTGCCACCTGGAGCCACTGGACACCCTGGCAGTCACCTCCACTGTGTGAGAAGAGCCCACGGTATAAATGTCTTCATGAGATTTTCTTTTCTTTTCTTTTTTTTAATAAGATTTACTTATTTATGCATACAAGAACTAGGGTGCAGGCCAGAGATGTGGGCGGTGAGAGGATTCACCAGAGACAGAGTGGGGAGCAGAATAGGCAGACAGACTGAAATACACTGCTGAGGGAAGCAGCGGGCGAGTTAGGAGAGGTCTGCTGTGCCGTGTGGGTGGCTCCCTGGCTGGGGATCGAACTCATGCTCCAGTGGCTGTGGCTAGCTTCATAGGCTGCGTCTTAACCCCTTGCACCACCAGGGAGGCCCTTCATGAGATTTTCTTACCTATGGCTGAATACATGACCACTGAGCTTCAGCAAGTGAAAATTCATGCCCATCTGAAGGACCTCAGAGGGCAGCCAATAAACTAAATGAAAGGTGCAGACAGGCTGCCCTGGCCTGAACTGACTGTGTCTCGTGATAGGCCCCAATAAGAGCAAGATTCACCTCTAACAGCCTCTGAGCTGCTGGCAAAGCTAGTAAGGGAATAGGGAATTATGTCATCTGTTTTCCTGGAAGCCATTTCTACAATTCAGAAACAATCTCACAACAAAAAACTATTTGGTGCTGAAGACCAGGGCTCCCTCATACCCAGGCTCCAAGAGTTGTCTGTTACTTTTAATATACTACAAATAAAAGTGGCCTTAGAATTTATCGCACACAGGGCCTCCCCGGTGGCGCAGCGGTTGAGCGCTGGGTTGCGAAGCTGCCTGCAGCCTCTGAAGTGCCCGTTCGATCCCCGGCTGCTCCCCGGCCACCGGAGGAGGGTCCCACATGGCGCGCAGACCTCTCCTGCCGCCCGCTGCTCCCCTCAGCAGTGTACTTCGGTCCTTCTGCCTGCTCTGCTCCCCGCTCTGGCTCTGGTGAATTCTCTCACCCTCCCGCGCTTCTGACTGTACCCAGTGCTTGTATAAATAAACATACAAGCAAATAAATAAATAAATAAATAAATCTTAAAAAAAAGAATATTAAAAAAAACAAAAAACATTAACATATATCAGATTAGTTTAAAAAAAAAAAAAAGAATTTATCGCACACTAAGGTTTAAGAAAGGTTAATTTTTTTCAATCCCCAGCCACTGGCGGGGTCCCACCAAAAATAAATAAATAAATAAATGGCTAATTTTTTTTTAATCCTTCACAAAAATTTCACCTTCTCTTCCTCTCCTACCCCTAATTAAAATGACCTGACCAAATGTTATCAAAACACACACTATAACGGCAGCAAGTCCTTTCAAGACAAGGATCCCAAGCATTACTGCTGGGCAGACAGGCCCTTCGTGACATGGGCTGGCGTGACCATAAGTCCTTGTAACGCACCCCTGGCAGCTCCAGCCTGTCCGCGGTTTCCTAATTGAACAAAAGCAAAGTCATGCCTCCCAGGTATACCAAATTTCCCTGAAACCAGGGAAGTGATTAAACAGCCTGGTTAACACCTCATGCATCTCCTCTGGTAAATTACGAAGGAATAAAATAGAGTTTGTAGGTAATAGGAGGCCTGGGGATTGTGCTTCCCGGGGCATGAGCTGAACTTGGTGTCTCCCCACCAGGCTTCTCATATGCAGCCGTCACAGCCTGTTTCATGAGTTTGGTTTTCTCTTTGTCAGCAAAAATGTCATGCATTTTAGATGTAATATCAGAATCTGTTTTTGCATATTGACTTCACGTCAATTTATGAAAAAATGCAAGTCCTTGACCGTCTCAGGGCATTTGCAATGAGCCGGGTTCCTTAGAGGTAACAAGGTGGGTCCCTCGTCTCCAGGTCCTGTGCAGCCACAGTATCCACCTCGCGGCCAAACCGAGAGCACTTCAGCGCCTTCTTTTTTCAATTTTGTCACTCATATTGTTGATACCGATTAAATGGTGTGGCCTGATACCATGTTTAGTGTTAAACTGTTCCAATAGCCCAAGGTCAAGTCCAAATAGCCCAGGTCCCGTAAGAACCTGTATTACTACTTTAAATACATGAATGTTCAGATCAGTCTCAAGAGAATTTCCAAAAACTGGAGGAAAAAACCAATAGTCAGTTAATAAGATAACAAATATATTCTGGAATATTCATGGCAGAAACTGGACGGCAACGAGACACAAGGAATGTTCAACAGCTTGGATGAACTGGGCGTGACACGGAGTAAGAGAACTTGGGAACATATCTTAATTCCATTTATGTGAAGTCACTAAAAGGCCACACACGTCTGTGCTGACAGCAGAATCCATACACTCGGAGGGGGTGCCGGGGTGTGCACTAAGGTGCTACAACCGCATATTATTCTGGGTTGCAGTTACACGAGTTGCTTAATTTGTGAAAGTTCTTCAAGCTGTGCATTTAAAACGTGTGTGCCATATGTCATACTTAAAAAAAAAAAAAATAGTTCACCAAAAACTAAGTCAGACAGTCCTAAATACACCTCATGATTTTTCTGGGGGGAGCTGCCTGGGCGTCACCCCCTGTGTGAAGACAGGCAAACCTGCAGTGGAGCCTCCAGTTACAACCATGCACCTCTGTCCCCAGAAAACAAGGCCTGGGATGGACGTGGCTTTGGCGGAGATGTGCTGCATGTCCAGCCCCAGTTGACAGAATCGAGTTGTGGGGTGCAGAAGCATCAGCAGGAGGCAATGTAATGCTAAATTAAAGATCATGTAGAACCTATTTTCCTATTATGTATACTGAATCAAATGTAGATAACCAGGGTCATCATTCCTTTTAGGATAGTATTTTGAGATAATTGAGGCTGGGCGGAGGTGTACAGCCTGACCTAACACCCTGACCAAGAGAACAGAGGCCAAAATGCCTCCAGCTGCCTTTACTGAGGTCCATGTTGTGAGGCCTCAGTGACTGTGGATGGGGAGGAAGATTATGCTGCCCCCAAACTGCAAGGGTCAGGGGAGGTGGCAACAGAGGAGTCCAAAGTCCTGCGGCAGGGAATGGCAGGTGTGGAGGCTCCCTGGTTGGCACCAGTGGTGACAGCACTAGTGTGGTCTCTTGTGGCCAAACCTGCAGCAACGGGCCAGTGGTGTTCCGACCCTATGGCTGCAGGCTGTTTTGCAGCTACTTCCCCTCAGCTTCTCCAGCGGCACAACCTCCCATCGGCAGCTCACTCTGCTGTGTGTGCTGGGCGGCCACGGGTCCTCCCAGACCTGCTCTTTCCTGCCCCCAGCTGTCTGCAGCATCCTTCTGCCCAGCAACCTCTAATCTCAGGGCCCGTGCTGCTCCATCAGCTACGCCCCCAGAACTGAGCAGGCTGGGGATGAGGCGCTTATGGGATCTGGACACTCACGACTTGCTCTAAAATTCAATGCTCCCAAAACACTAATGAAGTGTTACTTTCATAGAGTGCTATGAAGCAACCTCACAGGATTTGAGGAAAGTAAATGAGCTCAGAACAAGGTCATTCATCGCTTCTGCACTTAGAGGTTACAGAGGCAGGTGCAGCGGCCCCAAGGAAAGCTCTGGCTCCCTTTGCAAGATACTGCGGGCCTGGTCCCAGAAAACATGGAGCCACAGGAATAGCCCAGGCCAGGGACAAGAGGAGAAAACAGCCAAAAGGCAGAGGAAAGGAGCCAAGGAGGAGAAAGGAGGAGGACAAGGAGGCTGTGGAGGACAGACCCAGATCTAGGGTCTGGGAACCCCGCGATGTGTTCCCCAATGAGACTGGAGAGGTGCCATCACCTCCACGTGACATGGAGGCAGAGGGGGAGGCAGAGACCTCTCATCAGCGAGAACACACTTCTGTTTTCAGCCACCAAGTCTACGGTCATCTGCCATGGGGTCCTACGTGAAGACATGAGGTGAATACTAACAAAAGTAAGTGTTCCAGTAATTAGAACATAACTTACTAGTATTTAGAAAGAGCACATATCTGGTCAACTGTAGAAATGGGGCCCTGTTTCTTCAATCCACGACCATGCACGTCCTTTTCTGTGCAGACCCTCCTGCTACCTGTTCTAGGTGTGTCCTGTGAATACAGCTGCATTCACTTCCTAGTGTTTTGAGTGCACTGAATTTTAGAGCAGGTTATGCACATCCAGAAGAACAAGACGTCAACATTTAACGTGAGTCACACTTCCTCACCTGCTGACATCTAGCAAACCTCAGCCGACGCTCACTCCCCCACATGCCACCTCTACATTCACATACTCAGGACTTGAGCTTTTAAACCATTCTTTATCAAGCTCCAGTGTAGACTTAACTACAAGTTTCACTGGTTTCAGTTGCTCTTGGATTCATTTCTTGTTTTGAGATGTCTACTCGGATGACTCAATTTTTTGAGACCAGAGGAGGTCTTTGTAGTTAAGTGTCTGAGGCCTGGCATGTCTGAAAACACCCTCGCTCACCTCCTGTACCTGGGTTGATGGACATAATTCCAGACTGTAGCTCCCTTCTCCACAGACCCTGGAGAACACTGTCTCCCCCATTATCTTTGGGGTTGCTGCCAGTTAGCTGGGGGTGATTCTTGTTCTTATTCTGCCCTTTCTTTCCTCTTTATCCACTAGTGAGTTTCTTTTTATCTACTAGCTTTGGGATATTTTACTCAACATATGGATTTAAAAAAAAAAAAATCCTGCTTGGCATTTGGTGAACTTTTTGGAATTGAGGATTTCATCATAATTTAGTTCTGAAATATTCTACTATTTCTTTGAACTATTTCCTCCACTCCCTTCTTCTCATTCCTTCTGGGGCTTCTATGAAATGACATCTGAGCTGCGAGACCTGGCAGTAGTTCTGGGCAGAACCTTGGAGACCGTGATCCAGCTCCATCTCCCAGCTCACGGTTCACATCCACCCCCCACCTCCCTCTCCGTCACAGCCAGTTCTTGGGCTTCCATGTGACGCCCCTAGTTTTTGTTTCCAAGGATCTTTTTCACAACTCCCTGTAATTTTATCATGGATAAGCAACATCCTTTCACACTCCTGATGGTATTTGTAATATAGAGAGATGGTCTATTTTAGACCATCTCTCTTTCTATTGGGGTTGTCTCCCCAGTATTGGTTCTGTTTGTTGAGTCTCATGTCTCTTTCACAGTACTGGCTTCTGCCCGTGTTTGATCACATGGTGTTGGGTGATCATCTTTGTATTTAAGACTCACTGGTAGCCTCATTGAATGCCCTGAGTCTGGTTTTCATTGTGTCTGCTTCCAGGGGCCTACCCAAGCAGAGGGCGTGCACAGCCAGGTGGGGGGTTGACAGCTGGCTGCTGGGAGGGCAGCCATCAGAGGCACAGCCTGCCCTCACGCGTGTATCCTCTTGCTTCTGAGAATCGCCTGGGGGCACATGCCACTGCTCAGCAGCATGCAGGGCAGGGTGAGCAGGCCAGACAACCCCCCCGCTCGGTCTGCGCCTATATCTGCTGCCCCAATGTTGGCCAATGCTGCACCCCTGTCTCCTGGTTCTTTCTTGTATGTGCTTCTGGCTGTTGCTTCCTTCAACTGATCCCATTTATTGTCTGCCTTTCAGATTCCTTCATTTCTAGCCCACTGAATGAACTCCCGCTTGTTAGAGATTTATATCTCACATAAAGGCATTTCTAGGAAATTGGGAATAAATGGGAGAGGATGTAGAGTTTGCCTGCCAACCCCCCTTCCTTGATCTAATCAATTTTCCTCTTATTATTTATAAACCCACTGTATCTGGGCATCTAATGTACCTGAACAAACCAAAACTCCTTGCTCAAAATGTTATCATTCAGTGACAAAAAATTTCCTACTAGCCTGGAAGAATGTACTTACTCTGACAATAGCCTCAAGTTTCACAAAGCCACATGGTTTAATAGGTTCAAGAGGTCAAGAGTAAATATAATTTGGAATTGTGTCCAAGACACGTGAGATCATCCAGTGCTATTATTGACTGAATGTTTATATACCCGGAAAATCTCTATATTGAAGCTCTAAGCTGAAATTTTATGCACTAAATGGAAGGGGGGTGGCCTTTGGGAGGTAATTAGGATCAGATGAGGCCATAAGAATGGGGTCATGGTCTGATGGGATTAGTGCCATTATAAAAAGACATCAGAGAGCGACTGTCTCCTCCTGTTCCAGAACCTGACAATGGGGCAGCCTGATCTCAGACTTTCAGCTTTCAGATTGTGAGAAAATTAATTTCTATTGCTTAAACCACCCAGCCTCTAGTATTTTGTTATGCTAGCCTGAGCTAAGATTAATGCTATAACCAATTCTACAAAACCAGAAAATTGTGATCATTTCCCCAGCAACGGGTCACATGCAGACTAAATATGCCATCTGTTTTTATCAAGCAACAGAACTATAAGCTGGTTGTTGAACAGAATATATTTTTAAATCTCTCAGGTGAAGAAGAATGCACACAGGACAATTTGCTGCAGGCCAGAAGAAGCATTAGCACCCACTTCCTCAGACGTGCTGAGCAGAGGCCACAGGGCTGACCAATGGTCTGAGGTATGCAGGCTGGACTCACCTACAAACCAACCACACAGTCCTGCAGGAGCTCAGGGAAGTGTAGTGGCCACAGCATGAGTCTCAGAGTGGGATTCCCTGCTCAGGACACGGGCCTAGCATTGGCTGCTCTGTGCCTAATTTTCTCCAATCATGAAACTGGAATTAAAATAGAGCCTACCTCATGTGCTTGTTGTAGGGTCTAAAGTGCTTACTCGACAGAGTTCCTATCCATGTCAACCCTGGGAAACTGGACACACCAGTGTATGTGAAAGACGACAGGCAAGAACCTAGAGAGAGGACGTCCTGAGCGCTTCCTGCAGAGTGGCAGCATGATGTTAAGACAGTGCATGTATGTGCTTCCTGAGCACAACCTGGGAGAATCTGCACGTACCCATAAACTGATGGGTGTGCCACTCTGTCCTGCACCTTAATACATAAGGTCCTGTTTTAAAAACACACTCCTGATGGTACTTATAATATAGAGAGTGCTAAGTGGTCTTTCTCCTGAGAGAGATCCAACTGGTTACTAGATCTGCTGGTATCTCAACTCTGCAAACTCCACTAAAAAAAACCTATCTGTTACGAATCCCAGATATATGAGTCATTCCCAAACTTACAAAATCGTTCCCTCAACAATTTCATTCCATCTCAGAACTGATTGATCCCGTAGGCAGATAATCAGGAAGCAACAGGGAAATTCACAGTGGCTGCAGCACATCAGTTAAATAAACCCCCCCCCCACCTCCTGCTGCAGATGTGCTGTACTTTAAGAAACTCCAAATTTGCAAACCAAGAATCGGGAATAATGGTATGCATTTCTTTCTTTTTTTTTTTTTTATTTTGACATTTAGGTTTATTTTCCTAAATTGCTTCAAGTCACTTACCTTTTTTTTTTTTTAATAATGAATGATCATTTTATTTTTTTATTTTTTTTATTTTTTTTTAATATTAAATTTTATTTTTATATTCCCCCATACAATTGCAAACGCCCCATTCTGACCCCAATCCTTCCCCTCCCGCCCCCCACCCCCCTGCATTTCTTTAAATACCACTTGCAACTGAGCTTGCACCTCTAAATGCTAAGTTTACAGATCTTAGCCCTTGCACAGTGTAATTCCTGTAATTAGCAAACATTTTTTTAATGAACAAATAATTAACTAATTAGAACAGATGCTCAATGTCAAAAAAAAAAATAAAAAGGGAGCTGTTACACATGGATACTAACTAAAGGTCAGTGAGGACTGAGTGAGTTAGTCTCCTAGTTATCCATCCGTGGGGGCTCCCCAGGGACACCTTCTTCCTCTCCTAGGCCACCAACACTCCTCATGACTGACTCAAGTCTGCTCTTCTTTCTCAAAATCAAAATGGGGTTCCAACTGAGCCCCATGTTCCAAAAAACTTTACAGATCCTTTAGCTCAGCTTCAAAAAATAAGCAGCCACATGTTTCAGCTTTCATTGTTTTCAGGTGTTTCCTAGAAAACTCACCTTGAAGAAAGACCTAAATATTGGCTTAAATCTGGAGAGTTCCTTGGTTTCCACAGAGACATCTTCTGTCGATGGTGAATGAAGGGAATAAGGGCCTCTTACTTGAACCATTTACTCACTCCGACCACAAAGTCTACACTGCACAACTGATCCACTCTCCCTCTGCTGTTGCCAAACCCTGCAAACCCAGGCTGCAGGGCCCGGCTCTGCCTGGTGTCAGAGATGGACCCAAATGAGGGTGCAGGCAGTTCCCACAGGCCCAGAGACTGGCTCAGAGAGATGATTTTGCTTCCCCACACTCATCAGCAGCCTCTTTTTTGGTAAAAAAAATTCAATGTCAACTTTCAGTATTTTACAAGCTGACATGGCCATGTCTAAAAGGGAACAAGCCATGAAAATCCATCCGTCCATCCATCCCTGATGACGTCCTCTTACCTTTTTGGGATCCATGTTAAACTTCTTTCTTCCCATCGCTATCTGCTTATTCCTCTGAGTCGTTTTGCTGTGCACATGAAGTGACGAAGAACTCGTTACCAGTCATTTGCACAAAGCACCTGCGTGCACAGCCCCCAGGCTCCACGCCACCGCCCCCTTCACATCACTGAAGGAAAAGCACTGGTAGCACACAGGCTCCCACTCCCCGGGGAGGTGGCACCTGCACGCTGCCATGCTCTCACTCGCATTCGATAACTAAACTTCATGATGAGAAATAGCAAGTTAAGAAAAGCACAGTTTCCTATTATACAGAAAGGCTGTTTATGTGCAGGTGACTTCTCAGGAGTCTGAGCTTCTGCCCAAGACTCTACGGGCCACAGCGAACCAGAAAAAGTAGGGGAGAGAAGCAGCCCCAGAGGTGCCCCTGAATCCTCTGCAAAGCAGAGGAAGGGAAACCGTGACTCCAGCCCCGACCCCTTGTCTCCTGCGGCCATCACCCATGCAGCTGAGCATGCATGGGCTCAGCTGGATGATGGGGAAAACAGAGGCAATAACTTGAAGGTGTACACAAAAGGGTTTACCTCTCCTCCACTGAAGTCAGATTGTCAATCTCTGTCATCACTTCAGCAATTTCATATTTCAGCCTCTGTCAAAAAAGAGGAAAGCATTTTGGGGGTGGAGGGTCTTTACCTTCTTCTTGCAGATAAGGGAAATGCAAGCCTCTGTGCACCTGCTTCCCTGAGGGCTCACCTGGACAGCACAGCTTTGGAAAAGCAAGACTGTTTATCCACACACACCTTCGTAGCCAGAGCCACCCCAACTAATGAGGAAACAAAACTGTGGCTTGTCAACCCTTCTCAGGAGATCAGAGGGTTCACTAGACATTTTCTAGTGTTTTCAGGGTAATATCAAAGGGGGACACTGGGAGGACTTCACAGGTATAAAATAGATAAAAACAGCTGAAGAAAAGCAACACACTCGTAGTGTGCTGAGCTCAGCGACTGCGCATCACCTCACACACACCTGCCGTCTCCCAGCACTACCTAAGTTCTTGGCAAGACCGACTGGGGAAGCAGCTGAAGTGTTAATGTTTATTTTTATATTTATTTTCTTACATCATTGCTCAATTTTGGACAGTATTTGACTCTCCCCTCAGGTGCTGTCCCTGTAGTACTCCCACAGCCACAGTCCCCTGGAGCCATTCTGACCCCCTCGCTCCGCCTCCCCTGCTGTGGGCCTCAGCTCTGTGGCGAGTGTGCCAGCAGTCAGGATGGCCTATCACGTGCGTGAGATACAGCACCATGGACAGAGCCCAAGAGCGCCTCACCTGTGGCATCAGGCACACCAAGAACCGCACAAGGACAGGCTCCACCTTGTCCAGGCTCCACCTTGTCCCTTAAAATACCTTCCTGTTCTTCAACCAAAACACCTATTCTGGGTAATCTAATTTGCCCACGGATAAAGGGTAACCTCAGAAGGAAAAGTTCCAGGAATTATCTTTCAAATACAAAGACATTTTTATTCAGAACCCTGTAATTTTGTGTGCCAAGAAACTGCAGGCTCCAAATGCCAGCTCTTAGAAAGGAGTTATTGTCTGGACAGGGCCTGGTCTTGCAGTATGTGGTCTACGAGGCTGCATTTATTTTGGCATGACAATGATTAGGAAGCTACTAGAAGAAGAGCCACATGTTGGGTTGACTTTCCCAAGGAAGACCTGAGAGGAAGCAGTGCCAGTCTCCGGAGTGACTTTCCCAGACCCCAAAGACACCCAACCCTGAGACCGGCTGCTCCTCCTGCAGCCCCCTGCCCCCGCACTCTGAGTACACAAATGCGGAAAGTGCAGTGTTTATTTGCCTGTGTATGTGCAGTCATCTGTTTTATTCATCATTCTGCTTCCAATAGCTAGCAAATGCTCAGTGCACAGCTGGAACTCAATGTGTTTATTCATCCATCAAAAGATATCCAAGTGCCAAAAATGTGACAGGCAATGTTCTAGGTGCCGGGGGCACTGGTAAGAGGGACAGGGTCTAGTGCTGGAAGCACCAGTAAATGAAACAGGGTCTCTTTATTTCAGAGAGCAACATGATAGAGATTGCTGCTGGTTTTTTTCAGATATCCCCTATGCCGTGGGGGTCTATTTCTGCTGACTCCAATTTCTGTACTATTTCCAGAGTCTGTACTAACTGGTTTAATAAGCACCATCTCTGCTTTACCAACTTTCACCTTGTGTCTTCATGTGGTTCAGATATACACATACTAGACACCAAATTTTTACATTTTTATGAAGCTACCTGATTTACCATTTTAGCCCAAAGCAAAAACAAAGGGGAATTTTTTTTTTACCTCAATGTCATCAATAAGTTCCTTTTTCCTCCGACGAATGTCTAAAAGTTCTTCCCTCTCTTCTAATGAAAGGTCTTCAGGCACTGAAAGGGAAAAAAAAAAATCAGACTGAACAATTATACCATAACTGCATCATAGAACAATCTGGCAATGTCTGGTAAGGCTGAGGATAGGCATATTCAGCAAACCAGCACTTCTGCACAGGGGTGTTGACCCCTAAGGGGTTCTAGAATAGAGACCTCATGAAAAACATTCACAGCAGTTATGATTTCAATAAAAAAAATCTATAAATATTCATTAATAGAGGGATAAACTGGTTTATTTACTAAACAGGATTCTACACAACCAAGAATAGCTGTACTTCCTCTACCAATGTTGAAAAGTCTCACAAATAAAATGGAGACAATCACATGGAGTCTAAACAAACAGCAAATAAAAACCCAAGGCACAGAGTGGGAGAACAGACTGGTGACTGTTAGAGGTTAGGAGTGGAGGTGGGGGAAAAAAGGGGGCCAAAGTTATAACCTTCCAATCATAAAATAAAAAGTACAGGGCATGTAATGATGCAGAGCACAGTGACGCTAGCTATAGTGTGTTGTATGTTTGAAAGATGCTAAGAGAATAGATCTTAAAAGTTCTCATCCCAAGGAAGACAATTATAACTATGTGTGGTGTGAAACAAACCAGACTTAACAGTGGCTCTCTCCCACAATATACACATCCACTGAATCACTGTGTCCTACTATACACAGCACACTGAATGTTATGCAGCAATCACCTCTCAATTTGAAACAATGGAAATGTAACAAAGACATTTTCAAACACTAAGTGATCTGTATTACCAGAAATGTGAAAGTCATTCTGGAAAAAGGACAAGAGATTAAAAAGTACTGTAGATAGTAACTAAATGAGTAACAATTTTCCCTGTTAAAAGCAAAGTAACAAGAATGTTGCTGGGTTAATAATAACATGATATAGGGACACAGCACAGAGGCTGGGAGGTGAGAAATGGAAGTTACATGGTAATAAGGTTCTTATCCTAGGTACAGAGTGGTAAAAATTTTTTTAAGTTTTTTTTCCCCAAAATTTATTCATATAAAAGCTGGGGTACAGGCCAGAGGTGCAGGAGGATGAGAGGATTCACCAGAGACAAAGCAGGGAGCAGTACAGGCAGATGGACAAAAGCACAGCTGAGGGGAGCAGCGGGCGAGGAGAGGTCTGCCGCGCCATGTGTGAATCTCTCTGGCCGGCTGGGAATCAAACTCGTGCAGCAGAGGCTGCGGACAGCTTCACAGCGCTGCGCTCAACCCTCGGAGTGGTGAAATTTGAAGGCAGAGTGTGATGAATTAATGGTGTATAATGTTTAAAAATCACTCAAAGTATGCAGTAATACTGTATTAAGAAATTCAGAAGCATGACTTTCCTTACTAAATTTAATAAAATCTTACACCCCGAACATGGCGGCGAGGAGACTCTGCGAGTAAGATGAGTAAGATCTCCCACTAAAAAAAGTGAATAGGGAGGAAAAGCGGCAGGTCCCAGTGAGAACTGGGACACGGAAGATAAACGGGTGACGCCAGCGAACTGCCCGAAGAAGAAACTGGCCATAAAAGAGGACTAGAAGGGAGGGAAGCACAGAACCCTGCTCCCCTCCCCCGCCCACAGAGGCGGCACTCTCCGACCGGCAGAGAGGAGGAATCAACAAACCAAAACGGCCCACAAGAACAAACGAGGCAGCAAGCGGGACTGGGAGCGGAAAGGAACTATTGCAGCCACCACACCCCGTGAACTGGAGCTGAGGCGAACCCTGCAGGATCCGCCGCGGCGGTGAGCGAACGGCTCCGGGCGCCATTAGAGAAGAACAAAGACCCCGGGAGACGTGCACACAGCCCGGGCTGCCGGTAAGCCTGCGCGGGAAAGCGGCGCATTCGGCGTGCACTTGAAAAGTAAGTGCACACCTGGATCGCAGCTGCCCAGGTCCCCGCGCCTGCGACCTAGGCTTGCGGGGAGACGACCTAGGCTTGCGGGGAGACGCACGGAGGTCCTCACTGAGGTGAAGGTCCCTCCCTGAGTGAGCAGGAACCAGGCGCCCAGGCACGGGAGCTGTGCAAAAGGCGCCATTCCCGCGCCACTGAACTGGGCTACAGCCCGCGTCCTGGAACTGAGGGCTTTGAACTGAGACCCGGGGCACGAAAATTCGGGGCGTGGTTTCTCCACGACGGTGGGGCACAAGGCAGACACAGCACCCCAAAGCTGTTGAGGTGTACCCTACCATTCCTGCTCTGTTCGCTGTCCCACGGGGTGGGGGTAGGCGAAAAACAGCCCCCCAAGGACAATAGGAGAGATCTCTGGCGCCACCTAGCGACCAGGAAAAAAAAAAGTCACTAACACCCTATAAAACAGGACATTTCTTAAGACTGCTTGAAAAGGGCAGAAGGTTTCTGGAGGACCCAGTGGCCAGCCGGGAAGTTATTCCACGCCAGGCCCCTTCCGACCAGCAGTCTGAGCCCACAGAGGGAGCAGGCACCCACGTCCGGGGCAGACCGGGTGCGCAGAAGAGTGTGCCTGAAACGGAGGCGCAGGGACTGCATCCCGCTTCGCCATTTGAGAACAGGGACATTTCTTCAGTAAAAACTGCCTAAAACCAGCAGAAAGCTCCCCCAGAAGACAGAGATGGCTCCTGGAAGAGCCAGAGGGGAGCGGAGAAGTTCACCCAAGATGTCAGTCAGTCCGAGCAACACAGTGTCCCAACGCATACGACAAATTAGAAAACAGACAGTAGGGAGTAGAAGAACCACACGCAACCTAAAAACTCCTCAGGAAGAAGCACACCACAAAAAGAAAACCACTCCCCAGATTGCAACGACAGCAACTTGGAAGAACTTCTGAGCCTTCCAGAAAGAGAATTTAAAATTGCCATGATTAAAAAAGTGATAGATCAGAAGAAGGAAATTGAGTCCCTAAAGAGGGAAGTAAGAGAAATGCAGGAGATCAAAGAATTAATGGAGGAACTAAAGAACTCTGGGAAAAGCAATGAAAGCAGAATAGATGAAATGGAAGAACGAATAAGTAATCTTGAAGACACAGAAATAAAAGAACCAAAACAGAAAAGGAAAGAGAAGTACGAAGGAAAAAGAATGAAGAAAGACTTCGGGAACTATCTGACTCCATGAGGAAAGGAAATATAAGAGTTATAGGAATACCAGAAGGAGAGGAGAGAGAAGTAGGAACAGAGAAAATATTCATGGATATAATTGAAGAGAACTTCCCAAATGAGAAGAAGGAGCTGAAAATTGATATACAAGAAGCAAGAAGGACACCAAACTTCCACGACGAAAGGAAAAACACAGCAAGACACATAATAGTAAAGCTCCCAAGAATCCAGGACAAGGAAAAAATAATGAAGCTGACAAGAGGGAAGAAACAGATAACATTCAAAGGAAAACAATCAGGCTGACATCAGACTTCTCTGAAGAAACACTACGGGCAAGAGGAGAGTGGAGGGACATAGTCAACAGACTCCAAGAAAACAGATGCCACCAAGAATACTCTATCCCGCAAAGCTCTCTTTCCTCCATGAAGAAGAATATGGACCTTCCCAGACAAAGAGAAACTCCGGAATTTCATTGCGACTAAACCCCCACTCCAAAAAATACTACAAGGAATCCTAAAGCCAGAACCTCAGAGGGACGAATAACAACGAAAGAAGACCAAAAAAAAAAAAAAATTTATTAAAAGAATAAATAAATAAAATCAAAGGAAAGACAAACATAATGGCAAATACAGATGCTAACATATCAATATTAACTCTAAATGTAAATGGACTAAACTCTTCAATAAAAAGACACAGAGTTGCAGCCTGGATTAAGAAACAAAACCCAACCTTTTGCTGTCTCCAGGAAACACATTTAGCTACAAAAGATAAAAATAGGCTCAAAGTCAAAGGATGGAAAACAATCCTACAAGCAAATGGGCCAAAAAAGAAAGCAGGAACAGCTATACTTATATCAGATAAAACAGACTTCAAACTCAAAAAAATAAAAGAGACCCCCATGGTCACTACATTATGATTAAGGGGACAATACTTCAAGAAGAAATAACACTCATTAACATATACTCACCAAACGAAAGAGCACCAAAATATATCAGACAACTGTTGTCCTCTCTGAAAACAGACATCAGAGAAAACACATATGTAGTGGGAGACTTCAACACCCACTATCAACAATGGATAGATCAACAAGACAAAAAATAAGTAAAGAAACTAAAGCTCTAAATAAGGACCTAGAGCATTTGGGCTTAACAGACATCTATAGAACACTAAACCCAAAAAAAACGGAGTACACATTTTTCTCAAGCGCACACGGATCATTCTCCAGGATCGATCACATACTGGGGCACAAGACAAACATCAACAGATACACCAAGATTGAAATCATACCAACCATCTTTTCTGACCACGAAGGCATCAAACTAGAAATAAATCATAAAAAGAAGGCAAGGAACTATCCTACCTCATGGAGATTAAAAGCCACACTACTGGAAGACCACTGGACTAACGAGGAGATCAAAGAAGAAATTAAAAAATTCTTTGAATTGAATGACAAGGAGGACACCAATATCCTAAATGTATGGGATGCAGCAAAAGCAGTAATAAGAGGAAAATATATAGCAATAGAAGCTCACATCAAAAAACAAGAAAGAACTCAAAGAAACAACCTAATCTCGAAGCTCAAAGATCTAGAAAAAGAACAACAAAAAAACCCCAGAACCAGTAGAAGAAAAGAAATAATAAAAACCAAAGCAGAAATAAATGAAATTGAAACTAAAAAAACAATCCAAAAGATCAATGAAACCAAGAGCTGGTTCTTTGAAAAAATAAATAAATAGACAAACCCCTAGCCAGGCTCACAAAGGAAAAAGGGAGAAAGCACAAATACACAGAATCATAAATGAAAGAGGAGAAATCACAACGGACACAGCAGAAATCAAAAGAATAATCAGTAACTACTATGAACAGTTATATGGAAACAAGTTCAACAATCTAGAGGAGATGGACAAATTCCTACAACTCTACAATCAC